TTTGTGGTGGAAGCATTATGTTTCAGCTTCTCCATGTGCTTGTACAGCTGTCACTCATAGTGCCTCTCAGGTGTGTTCTGTCAGGGTCCCAATGGTCTCCCTGGTGCCTCCAAGGCTTTGTGCCACAATCGCGCAGCTTGCTCTGCCTTTCCACTCTGATTTGTTCTTGGCTGGCCTTTGCAGTCTCCAGCAAATTGGATACATGTTAGCAAAGGAATTTGGTAGGAGTGCAGCAAGTGTGACTTTCAGCTGCCCACACACAAGATCATATCATAGCAGAGGAAGGTTAAAGTCTTTCCTGAGGTGGCTGTGGTGAGGTCACACTGAGATTATATATAAATTACAGAGGGAAAATTAATTTAAATCAGAGGATTAAATAGCTACTTTTTAATAAGTTAAACAGTCTTGGCATATATTTGTAATTGCCAGTTTTATTTTTCTACTGAAAGACTGATCCTGGCTGGTAAAATTTGATAGTACTTCTTGCTAACTAAGAGAAAACACATCCTTTAGGTTCTTTACTGTCACAGAAAAGACAGATGTTGCATATCTTTTTTTACTAAGAAAACAACTTGTGATTTAGGCCAAGGTGCAGCATCTATCAAAATGCAGCTCCATTAACTTTAGGGACTTTCAGTAACTAATTAGGCATGCTAGAAAAACATAAAGAAATATTACTTTATGTATGCTTTGCATAGAAAACTAATTTATTCACTGGGCAAGGGGAGCTATTACTTGGAATTAATTGGTGATTTGAATTGATTGGTCCTGTCATTGTCCTCCAAGATCTTGCAGCTGGAGGGTCTCCTCACCCAGCTGGATTTTTATGCATAGATGGAAGAGGTGCACATTGCTTTCCTGCCTCCTTTCAGCTCTCGGATGACTTTCAGCTTCTTGCAGAATCAGATAAGCCTGCCAAAGCTGAAAGGGAGTGTTGGAGGGGTGGGAGCAGCTGCCAGCCCAGTTGAAAAGCACTGTAGTGAGCAAGTAGCGCTTCTCCAGGGTGCAGGGGAAAGGTGCTGTTTTTTCAGGCAATTCGCCCTTTCCCGATCTTAGTTCCATGTGCTGTTTAATGGCATGGGAGTAAAATGATCTGCTTTCTTTAAACCGTTTGCTTCCTGTTGCTGCAACTGATGCGCTGTGCCTGTGACAGATCTTTCAGGAGCCTAAGAAAGCCAACCAGGTGGAGCAGGTGCTGGTGGAATATGCCAAGTGCATAAAGGTAAGCTGAGCTGGCAGGCTGGTGGGAGTGTGGTATCCCAACTGTGTATGGGAGTGCTGCTAAAGAGGGCATTGCAGCTTTTAACAAGGGAAGAGGGCTCTAGCCCAGGTGTGGGAGTGTTTCTGAAGCACAGAAATCTTCCCTACTCTGGTTTAAGTTGCTGGTCCCTCTCCTGCAGCGCTGCAGCCAGGCAGGAGGACAGATGACAGGGGCCCTGCTACTTTCTGTAGTTGGAGGCAAAATGAGCGAAGGGATCAACTTCTCTGATGACCTGGGAAGGTAAGGTGGCTGTTCCTTGGGAGGTGAGCACTGGGCTTGTGGTGCAGTGAGTCCAAGCAGGATGGATGCATCAGTACTTGCATAGATAGAAAATCCTGGGGAGTGCATGGCTTGGGCTGATGCTTAAACCAACGGGACTAAGTCTGCTGGGTGGTGTAAAACCTGCTTGTCCAGAGTACTTTTCATGTGAGTAATGCAGTTAGGCTCGCTGTGCTAGATAATCCCTTGTTCTGGCACCCTGAATCCCTCTGCAGCTTTCCGTTCAGAACGTGCTTGTCAGACTGCTGTGCTTTATTGCCGCCTCTGGTTTTCAGGGCTGGCTGACTTTCAGGGGTGCAGTGACCTCTAATTTATCAGTCTATTGGCAAAGTGCTCTAGGATGAGACATTAAGAGTAATGCAGTCCTCCCTTGCCCCTTGCAGGTGTGTGATTATGGTGGGAATGCCTTACCCCAACATTAAATCTCCAGAGCTCCAGGAAAAAATGACTTGGCTTGACAAAACAATGGTAACAGACACTTACACCTCTGCCTCTTTCACTTCGGCTTTTTAGTATTAACTTTCCTCCCAGCACACGAGTCCCAGGGCTGCCTTCAAAGGTTTTTTTTTTTTCCCCCCTCATTTCCCAGACTGTGTGGTACCGAGAGCACAGCCTTCTCCATGCTGCACAGGTGCAGGTGGCCCTAAACACAGGGAAGAAGCTCAGTGGGGGGAAACACCACTGGGGCTCCCTGGGAACACTGAGTTCCAAGGGGAGCAAAGTCCCTTCACCCCAGGGGAGGTGGCAGGGTGCTAGAAGCTGCTTGCCAGGGTCACTTTGCCTCTTAGCTCACTTGTTCTTTGTCACTGCCCACTGGAGATGCTGTTCCTGGGCAACTGGGGTCAGGTTTTCTGCTCTCAAGGGGGCCCTGGGCTGGCTCTTTGTGAATGCTCACCATAGTTTTCTGACTGCAACCTTTCTTCTGTCCCTCCTTACTCTCAGCTTGGGGTCTGCTTGGCCGCCCACTCTCTCTGCAGGGGTAAAAGCATTTGCCTTACTCTGTCATTAAGACTCCCTAGTTTGATTTACATCTGCCTCATGTTCAGTCTTACCTATTTCTCCTTTTCAGCCCAGAGCTGCTGGCCAGGCACCTAGCAGAGTGCTGATTGAAAACCTGTGCATGAAGGCAGTAAACCAGTCGATAGGTAATTCATCCTTCCTTGGACAGGCTGGGGGATACAAAATGTGACTGCACTGAAGTAGGAGGGTGGGAAGAAGGACGCGTTACCAATCAGTCTAAGTACAAATGACAGGAACATGAGCTTCCTTGCCTGAGAACAAACACTTGAGTGGGCCATTTTAATGTGGTTGTACACTCTGTGCAGGCAGAGCCATTCGCCATCAGAAGGACTTTGCAAGCATCCTGCTCCTGGACCACAGGTACGCACGCCCTGCCATCTTTAACAAACTGCCACAGTGGATCAGGGAGAGAACCCAGGTGAAACCTGCCTTTGGATCAGCGTTTGCAGAGTTAAGAAAGGTCAGAACTTGTATCTTACGCACTGCTACCAAAACTGCTTCCTACTGTACTCATCCGTACTTTTCTCAAACCTTCACTTTGGTGTAAGGCCAGGGACAAACTGTCTGGTTTTGTGTGTTCCTAGTTCCATCGAGGGAAGTCGGATGCTTTGTGATGCGGACCAGAGAACAGGCTGTAGGTCAGCTCTGTGAGCTGCACCTCTGAAGCAACAAAAGTTCCTGCTTTTCTGTACCAAGGAGTTTGTGAATCTCTGCCTTCTGCCTCCTTTGTGGATGTTTGCTGTTCAGTATCTGAGCGCTATGATGGTGAGACAGCCCTCAGCACCATAACCAGGAGGGAAACTGGTTGTAGGTCTGAGGCAAGTGAAGGTAGTAGTGGCAGGCTCCTCTTTGTTTACAGCTGTTAAGTTTTTATTTAAATTGATTAAATATTTTCAACCCAAACACTTAAGTATAGGGAATATAATTATTTTGACTGAACACATCTGCCTTTTCCCATCAACCACCAAGTGTAGTGGGTTTGATGACCAATGAAAACAGAGCTTTTCACAAGAATTGTAAACTATCACGCTGTTAGTTTGTGTCAGGTTGGAATTACACAGTCAGACTGGTAGGACACAGGGCAGCTATGGGTGACGTTTCTTATCCCCTTCTTTCTACCTTGCTTCAAGCAGTCAATAGATTCAAGGAGTGGTTCATTCTTTCAAGGGGAATAAAGATACGGCCATAATACAGCACAGCACTTCTCCTTTGATCATGCTTAAGCACAGGATTGCTCTGCTCTTTTTACTGCCTAGGCTTTTGAATTCAAAGTAACTTTCTATGGAAAATGGTAAAAAAAATTTTTTTTTTTTCTGCATAACTTTCCTGGGCTTCTTTCCTAGGTCATGGGTCATTGCTGGAGGGCAGCGATAACAGGGATGGCTGTGCAATCCCACAGCTATGTAATCCCACAGCAGTCCCCAGCTCTTTCTGTCATGCTGAGCAAGTTGTCCCAGGAGCCGTTCTGCCTCCTTGCCAGTTTCAGCAGCTGGATGCTATCTCTTAAAGCTCTTCACAATGAAAAAAAGCACTTAACAATTAGACACAGAGGTGGTACCCACTCCCTGAACGTTAATTACCCCCACAGGAAAAGTTTCTGAGAAACGTCCATGGTGAGTCTCCTGCCCCTTCAGCAGGTGCAAAGCCCCCCGTCGGGCACAAGCTCTGCCTTAACCCCGGTGAATGCAGGAGCGGGAGTGGGGGGCACCTGCTAGGAACAGCTGGTGCCCTGCAGCAGGTGGCTGGTGCTGCTGGGCTGTAAGGCCAGGCCTGAGATGAGAGGGCACAGCCGGGCTTTCCCTTAAGACACTCTTAATGGAGCACGCTTCCCGCTTTTACCAAAGCGAAGGCTGCAAGGACCTGCTTCCTTCAACTTTATTGACATTTTCAGACAGCAACAGGCAAAGAATTACCATAAACCAGGTAGAGAAAGAAACCATCATGTGCAGAGGCACCAGGAATTAAACCTCCATGAAGGGCCTCACACACTCATTCTCTCTTCTAGCAACAACCAAGCAAACAGGAGCTTCAGCAAGCAAGCAGCAAGGAGACAAATGAGGCAAGGGCTGTTTGCCTGCAAGAGATGCTTTTGCAGTCATCACCAGTCACATTAGGAAAGACTGAGGGCCCTTTAAATCAGGAGCAATGCTAGTTCTGATCCTCTGAGCACAGGCTGCCCCACTGCCCGCCAGCTAAGGCAGGATTTATTGTGCCAGCATCATCATCATCAGCATTTGAGATGGAATGTAGTATTTGGGGTGGAGAATAGCAGACAGCAAAAGAAAAACTCTCATTGATAACTATAACCTCAGCAGTGGTTAGCTCCTGCTGCTCCTGCTCCTTTCCAAGAAGAACTGACAGGATCCTCCTGCCATGCCAGTGCCCACCCTCCACGATGTATTTCCACAGGCTGCTATCTCCAAAAGGTGCTTAGTTCACAAGTCCCGGGATTCACACTGATGCACAACTGACCGCATCTATGACTCCCAGTCATCCTCATCCTCCTCACCCACAGGCTGCTGTGGAGGTGGGAGGGGTGGTATTGAGTCCGACATACGAGCAAAGGCACCAGCAGGACTTCCAGGAGCATCGGGATTCCCGGAGGCTCCCGGCCCTTTCCCTGAAATACCTACAAGGGAAGGAAAACCACCAGTGAGTGACACCTGGGGACTAGAGAACATGGAGGCTCAGCAAAGGGGAGGGGAAAAACCACGACTCCCACCAGCACCAGGTGACCCAGGCAACACACTTAAGCGCCACCACAGCCCTGCACAAGGACTCATTTAACTGAAGCTCCACCTGAGAAGCCCATGCCCTCTTCTGCCCTGTGCTGGGGGGGACAGTGGCCCTAAATGCCCTGGGCACCTGCCAAGGCCTTGGGGGCAACTTGGGTGCCTCTAAGGGTGAGAGGCCCAGCTGCTCCAGCACGGAATTAAAAAAAGACACCGCTGTCCCTTCCTCACAGGTAGCTTTCAGAGCCTGTCCTCTGCCGTGGACACTAAACCTCCTCCAGTGCCTCCAGCTGAACTCGAGGTGGAGATTCCCCTGCTCACCCTCTGTAAAGACACTCCCAGCCACACTGTGACACAGTCCCAGGGAAGTTGTCTCTGTTCCTGTTCGTAGGGCTGTGGCTGACACAACTGAGGTGCCAGAAAGGGCTTTCCCTCTTTCCTAGGGAGAAGGAGCAGCCCACCCTGCAGGACAGTACCTTTGCGCCTCAGCACCAGTTTGTTGAAGAGGTCTGACATCAAATCTCCACCTTGTCCTGTAGCTCTCACTGAAACAAAGCAAAACAAGTCAGACAAGAAGCATCAGTCTGAAGCTAGCACTATGGCAAAAGCATTCTCCTGCAATACTGCCTTCAGATTAAAGAAAAAAAACCCCAAACCTCTAATCTGGTATCACACCCCTAAGCTCTCCCACTCTAGTCCATTCAGGCGAGGAAAGCACCAGGCATCAGGTAACGGCATCTTCTGGGAAAATCCAATAATGGAATTCCTTGAGGGGCAAGAGGGGCTCAGCATCTGCAGTCTCATTCTGCCATACCAGCTCCATTGATGCTCTCCCCAGCTACCTAAACCAACGTGCTCGAACCAGCTCGGCCCCACCCCTCTTCGCCCCAGGGTTTGCTTTGTGTGTCTGCCCCCATGCAGCACACATGGAACTTCTACGCATGCCCTGAGACAGAGCAGGTCTCTATCAAAAACATGAGTGCCCTTCTGGCAGATGGGGTGTAGCAAGTTCACAGAGCAAGCTCTGTTATGTTCACTGTGCTCCTGGTTTGCCTGTCTCCCTGCAGACCTACACCTCCCCAGCCTGGGGCAGAGAGCAAGGAAGATCAGTTCTGCTGAAGAGCCTCAGCACCTTGTTCTTGTTCCTTCTGCTTCTTCTTCTCCAGCTTCCTCTCCTTGACACTGCGGAGGTTGGCCTTCCCGATGCCACCGGCCTGGCGGATGGACTCCAGGAGACTGGCACGCCCAGTAGAGGGGTTCACCACCTCCTTCGGAGCTCCCTGGACCAAAGCTGCAGGGACAGGAACGACAGGCAGCAGACGTGGGTCAGTGCACCAGCTACAGGCCCCACCAAATCCCTGTGGAAAGGGCTGCTCCGATACCCTGCCAGCTTCTGCTGGGGGCTGTAAGCCTGGCCCAGACACCTCTCAGTAACGGACTTGCGCTCAGCCCAGCCAGCAGGAGCCCTGCCAAGGGGGACCTGAAGGCTTGCAGCTCCCAGGCAGGCGGGAGCCGCTTCCTCTCCCACCGCAGCTTCCCTCCTCTGCAGGAAGGCTGGGAAGCCACAGGGAACCAACCAAGGACACGGGCTGAAGCCAAGGAGTCGGAGTTAGGTTCTGCTGGTGAAGCTGCAGAGATGCCCAGCCCTTACCTGCAGGCACTGCATTGCTGCTCTCCTCGCTCGCTGTCCGGGCTGGCTCAGAGGTGGCTGTGGGCTGGGGCAGGGGCGGCGGAGGCGGCACAGTGGCTGGCATAACAGGAGGTGGTGGGGGAGGTGGTGGTGGAGGAGGCGGCAGTAGCTCAGCATCTTGAAGGTCTAAAAGATGAAAGAAGTTGCATCTGAAGTGTCCCAGAGGACAGTGCACTGAGAGCTTCAGCTCAGAGCTTCACATGCCTCAGCGGCAACAGATCAAAGTCCTGCAGCAGAGCACTCCCACCCTGTGCAGCATCTCCTAACAGCAGGCAGGGCCAAGGCAGATTTTGAGATTTCCCTACTCTGCCCTCCCCAGCTGCATCCCACTCGCCCAAAGGCATCCCGCCATGCTGCCGCAAGGCCAGTCCCTGCACACCATGCTCCCTCCTCCCTTGCCATGCAGAAGGTGAGGGAGGTGAGGGGCCTGGAGTCTGCCCAGCACTTGAGCAGGTTACAGCTTTGACTCAGGCCAAGCACAAGCCAGAGATATCTCCAGCGTCCATCCTGAAATCTCCAACAAGGGACTTTCTGCCTTGTCTCCATCTTCAAGCAATCCCTGCCTTCCTCCTTCACAGGGTCCTGGGAGCAGGGATTGGAAATACCTCGTTGCAAAGGCTCCACCGACTCAGTGTTGAAAGTGGGCAGCTCGGGAATAGCACTGCTAGGGGCAGACGGTGCAATACCGGGGCCCAGATCAGCACTGTACATGAGATCTGCAGCAATGCCAGGCAGGTCTGGCAGGTAGGACGGCACATCAATCTCAGGGACCTGGCCCAGATCTGGCACGTAGAAGTAATTTTCAGCTACCTAAAAGAAACCCAAAACAAAAAGATAAGGCAGTGACTATGTACTTGCTTTCCCTTGCAGCAAACGGGGGCACTGCAGGGACCAGCCTGGGCAGCAGTCAGAGCTGTGTGCCTTGGTACAGTGGCCACTCATCAGCTACCCCTACAACCCTGTGGTCTTGTCTTCTGGCAGCTTCCCGTGCGCAGAGGCTACCCCCTGCAGACCAGGCTTGGAAAAGGCAGGCTGCATGAAGAGAAGTGCAGGACTCTTCCTAGTTTCTTGCAAGTGGACTCTCTCCTCCTCTGACGGTTTCATGCACCAACTTTTGCAGCCTACATAAGCCACACCCTTCTCCTCCAGAAGAGAATGGTGCCTGAACCGTTTCTGAGGTTAAGATGCAGGAGAAGCACAACCAAGTAGTTACAGAGGTTTGGTTTTGTGTTTAACACACAGGCAAAAGAGTACCAAAGGTGTGCTGTGAATAAAGGGTTTTGTTTGCTATAGACACTGTCTCCTCCGGTCCAACATGATGGGCAAAGGGCTCCCAGGCCCCTTTTCCTAGCCCCAAAACACACATTCAGCCATGCAGCAGCAAAGCTCCAGGTACAGCCACTACAAAGTGTTGGGTACAGGGTCAGTCACGTGTTGGGGCAGCTGGAGTGCGCTGCCTGCCTCATTCCCACACCAAGCACAAACCCTTTGCTTAGGCTGGCTGGCCCTTCTGTTTGCAACAGCAGGCGCCCCTTCCCAGCAGGCATGATGGGGATCAGGCCTCCTCCCAGGCACCTTCCAGCCGTGGCACCTCACCCTCAGACTTCTCAGGAGTTAGCACAAGGAGGATGATCAAGTGATGGAGCCTCCAAACTCCTCTACAGCCCTGAGGTCTAGCAGCAAGGTGAACTGGTATTACATTACTCTTCTCACACCATTCAGCAAAGGCTTGAGCAGAGAGAAAAACCTGCCAAGTTTGAGGGTTTTGTCACCCATCAAGCTCACACCAGGACTTCAAGCACAGAAATGGGCAAGGTCCTTTTGGTAAGTGAGATACTCTGCAGCCCCATGAGGGCCCATTCTCCTAGCTGCTCTCCACCCTACAGAAGCCCTCTCCTCTCAGAGAGCTGAGCACAATCCTCTGAAGGGGAAGCAGCTGCATCCCCACAGCTGCATCTCACCTGTCGGTCCAGCTGTCCCCTTTTGGTGATGGAGAGAGGAGCATCAAAGAGCTTCTCTTCTGTCTCCGTTTCCAGAGCCACATGGGTCTTGGTCACTGCTCCAGCTAGAGGATCCAGGAAAACATACTTCTTGTACCTAAGCGTAGAGGACAAGTATTTCAGTGATGCTGCCTCAAGACCCAAGGCCAGAAGAAATACCTCTAAGGCCCTGGAGGTGGAGACCTCCTGACTCACTCACGCATTTTCCTGCTTCATGCCTCCACAACCAGGAGGCGGTCAGCTCCCCACCCTGCCAGGGCAGCCTCCACATTCATCCTAAAGCAAAGCCCCACTGCACTGCCATCGTTACCAAGCTCTCCCCCTCCCAACACCTGGCCTGAGACTCCTACAGCAGGACACCAGTCTCTCCTGGTGACTTGTCACTCAAGGGACACGAGGAAAGATAAAGAGGGGAAATAATCTGTGGCTCAGGGAAAGAAAGAGGAGGATCAGCAGCTGAAAGCTCAAGAAGGGCTTAAAGAAGCTCTTCAGTATGCGCAGAAGGAGGAACCATGAGGCAAAGCCCAACGGGAAGGGGAACTCCAATAAAAGGCAGTGGAGACATTAAAGCAGCAACAGCGGTAAAGTGTTGCTGTGAGGAATGATCAGCAGGAGCAGAACCTAGGCAGGCACATAGGGCAGAGAAGGGCAGGAGTGACAGCAGCTTTCAAGGCCAGAAAGAAATTATTACAGGGGTATGACAGGAAAAACTAAGTCAGGGAAGGTAAGTGCAAAGTTGGGTTGAAAGCAGGTGAGTGGAGGATCAGGTGCAGACAAAACAACTCCTTCCACCCAAGGGGAAGAGTGAGGAAGAAAGGGTTGCTAGCTGGAAGCCAGTGGAGAGGTACCAAGCCCTGTCCTATCAAGAGCCTGATATGCAAGACCCCCAGGAAAGCAAGCAGCTACTGTTGCCCCTGGGGCAGGGAGAGCTCCTCTGAGGACAAGCAGGGGCAGGTGAGCAGCATGGTGCTGCTCCAGCTCTCACAGGTTCTCGGTGGTGTTAAAGAGCAGCAGGGAGCTGAGGGAGCTGATGTTCCTGGGGAGGCTGCCAAGGCCTTCTTCTGCATCATCCTCCTGGTGAATTTTGGTGCTCAGGCATACAGGGAAATACTTGAGCTTCTCCTGCAAGAAGATAAATAACAGGTAGCAAGACACTAAAATCACAGCTGCTGAAACAGCTCTCCCAAGCCACCACAACCCACACTGCTGGATCCACTGCACGCTCTGGGAACCCTACTGCTCCCTCTCTACCTCCCTTTGAGCCAGGAAGCACATGGACAACGTTGCAACCCCACACTCATGACAATTCTCAGCAGTTCGGACTCATGGCATGTGCTTTTGGTGCCATGGATGGGTCATATTGAACAGGTGTTGCTCTGGCAAGGATCCACCAGAATAAAACAACCACTCAGGCTCTATAGCCAGAGGCAGCGATCAAGGACCGTGGTCAAAAAGGCATTTGTCACAGTGTCTCCAACTACTAGACATTTTCATGCAGGGAGAGTCCCCCAAACATCTCTATTACTTCCCCTCTGCTGCCTTCAGTTGATGCTTTAAGTGATGTGATCCCACCGGTAGGGTATGGAGGGAAGGCAAAAGAAAAAGAGGTTAAGAAAAAACAGAGTGCCTGCGCTGGCAAGAGCGCAGGCAGAAGGGAGTGTGCAGGGTGGAACGTGTGCCAGATGGTTTTGCAAAGCCTGAGGGATTTGCAGGAGTTTTCAACTCTAATGAACTGAAATCTCCTCTCTCTCGGTTCTAAAACTTCATGCATAATATATAGAGCTCCCTTTAGAAAAGGACTTATTACATCTGAACTGCTTGACTTTTATAGAGCACAGGAACTGCCATCCCAGATCAGACCAGTGTTTCAGCTAGCGTGACAACGGCCACTGCCAGATGCTCTGGGGGATGAAGCGCAGTGCCCACAGCAAGCTTTGCTGTAGAGGGAGGAAAGGCATCAGTTTCTGAACCCAGAGACAGCCGGGGATGGACGAACCTCCACCCCAGACCCCTCCCCACACCCTTCCTCAGCCCCTTCACGACTCCTGTTCCCTCTTCACAAACTAGGGCAAGTGGCAGCCTGGCAGCTGCGAGGTGGTAAGCGTTCATACCAGAAGAAACCAGAGCACTAACTGGGACAGTTTGTCAGATTAAATAATTGGCCACACTCTTGAGGTTTTCTTCTGTCACCAGAAGATGACCACTTCAAATACTGTCCACAGCTTCCTACTGCCTCACTACTTCCTGCGATCCTGCTCTATCCCATTCTCTGAATCATTCCTCCCTCCTTACACTTGCATGGGGGAAATGGGAGACCACCATTGGTTCAGTTTTAAGACCACATCTCGGCAACATAAGCAGTTTCTGCTGATTGACATTTCAGGCTTCAATTTGGTAGCCAGAAATCCCGGGAAATAGCTTAGTCACAGCTCAGTTAATCGACTAAGAGTCTGTATGATGCTCTGAGTCTCTAAAATGCTATAAGAAAAGACCTGGGAGGTTTTGATTTAATTTTTTCCCCCCCAAATAACACGTTCCAATCTGTGAAAAACACACTGAAATAAACATCTTGAATTTTTACAGAGGCAAGTAGGCAAAATATATAAATTGTTATTTGGAGACTGTAGAAGCAGAGATTCAAAAATAAAGGTTCTTTTGATCATTAATATTCATTTCCCAATGTTTAATTTTTTAAGCATGAGGGAGTACTGACGTTTTTGCTAGAACTGTTCACACACACTTAGCCCTCAAGTCATATATATATATTTTTTTCATTCTCTCTGTAGATTTCAGTTAGCACTGGAAGACTGTGCATCACTTTAAGGGCGTAGTGAGAAACCAACCATTACCTACATTTACTTATAAGTCTCATCTAAGGCAGTTATAAAAGCACTAAGCATGAGTATTACTCTGAAACGTGAGGCTCTACATAATCCTTTTAATTTAAATGCCACCAAAGTGCTAGTCTTATTCAAGTACCTAGATCTGTTTTGAAATTTAAAACAGCTACATACTGTCAATAATATCCTGCAACAGTGAATTCCACAAGTTAACATGCCATTTAAAAATTAATTCTCTTATAGGGACATTAAGGCCTTAAGCCAAAGGTTCAGCAACCTCAACATACTGAAGACAATGGGGGGCGCTTGAATGCCCAAACACCCCAGCTTGGGGTTTGGCACCTGGCAGGATCACACCCCTAAGGATGCTGCACTTCCAGGCATTTTTCTTCCTAAAAGGCTACAGTTAAAAATATATGAAGTCACCCTGGTTCTTAAGTTTAATTAAGCACACACTATTACAAAGGGAGTTGGTGTGATACACCAAGAACCCCATTCCCCCCATGCCAATGGAGTGCTGAGGCTAGCTGGACAAGTGCTTCAAGATTGGCAAGTGCCAAAAATCTGGTTTAGCCTCCTCATGCCCATGGTAGACTCCGAGAGAGGCAGAATTCAGGAGGACACGCTAAGTTACTGACATTTTTGAAGCCTACCAAGGTTATTCCAGCAGTAGACTGTAACTTTTGCTTGGACCTCTTCCCAAGCCCAGGCAGACCATGTCTCCCACCCCGTTTTCCAGCCTCCTGAGGGGCACTTCCATCACCCGGACACAGGTCCCACCACAAAGGCAGTGCCCAGGCACCTGAGAAGCCCTACAGGGCTGCAGCCGACTCACGGTTGAACCCTGCCTAGCTGCTACCACAGCAACATGCAAGGCAAGTGGCTTTCCAGGCTCACCACAAGGACCCTGTTTCTGGCACTCTTATCTATCAGTGCTTACCTTACCAACCTAAACAGTGTCCTCTCAATAGCTGAGTTTTCACTTGCTTGGGGTGAGGAGGGGGAAAGGAGAATTTCCCAGGAGGGAAGCATTTTTAAATGAACTGCAGAAACATGCACATTCCCAACTCAGCTGCTTTCCCACCAGAGCACAAACCCCAAAACGCTAAGCACACGCTGCCGCCACTTACTCTCAAACTGATACGAGCAGAGCTTGCTTTCCTGGTGGGGCGTGTGTGTGTGTGTGCGAGTGAAGTTAGCAAAGGCCACTGTGGCTGCTCCCAGCAAAGAGGCCCTCATTAGAAGTGAAAACAGAGAGCGAGCCTCTGCTGAAAGTCCTGAATAATTGAGGAGGGCATAAATGTAAACATTACACTTCCCTCTGTCACATTTCATTACTGCAAGGCACGTCAGGCTCCGTGCTCAGCTATGGCCGAGAAGGGCCTGTCCCCCTGGAACGTGGTCAGTGCTCAGCCGCACCGAACCCCACTCAGCACACCAGCTGCTCCTGGCACAGGTCCCTCCATCGTTCATCAGCTGACAGCCACTCACCAGCACAGCAGCGTCCCCCCGCCCCACGGAAGAGCTGCAGGAGCTAGTGTGGGTGAGCGTGGCAAGAGTAACAAGACCGCTGCATGAGGTAGGGTCAGCAAAGCCGGAGAAAGATCAACAACCCCAAAGGAAGATCGGAAGGTGGGTCACAGAAGGGGAAGAACAAATACAAACATCCCTCGGGGCCTGCAACAAAGTCCCTGTGGTGATGGCAGCCTTGGTCACAAAGGGCAGAATGTGGCAATGGTACAGAGACCGCCTGGGACAGGGAAGAGGTGGCATCACAGACAGATGGCAGAGGCAGCAGGGAAGAGCATGCAGAGCCTACTGGAGACAGTGGGCCAGTCGGATGGGCACACCATATGCTCTTTGCGGGACACTGCCTTTTACCAGCTGCTGCTCTTCTCAATCCCCTCCCTGTGCGAGGGGCTGTAGATTGGCACCAGCCCTTCAGGGTGGGAGAGCATCTCCCCTGCCCACTCACCGCCTACCTCTGATGGGATGGGGCCACCAGCCAGACAGCACAACTGCAACTGGCCTCCCCTGGCCGGCCAGCAGCAGGTCCTACGCAGCTCTGCCCTGCGCTACTGCCAGGGCTCGAAGTAAGCATGAACCCTGCTCGAGTTTGCCCGCTGTCCATTTGGCCAGCAACCCTGCTTCCCTAGCCTGGCTGAAATATTCATAACTACTTCACTGTGTGAGGTCTCAACTCCATTAAAACTCAGAAAAGTTTAGCATGATAAATTATTCAGTAGCAGCTTTATTTTTGGGCCAAGGCACACAAGGATGAAGAATGAAGTCTCTCTAGGGGTGGAGAGCAGGGAAGTTGTCAGGTTGATCCCTGACCTGCCAGGAAGAGCACATCTGCCACTCCTGGCAGAGCACATACACAGGAACTTTTAAACTCTAAACACAGCAACTCTTCCTCCCCTCCTTCCAACCTTGGGATGTTGACCCAAATTGTTGGAGACTCCTTTGGTAGCATTTCCTGCCAAATCCACCACTTCTCAAACCTCCCTAAGAAGCCTCTCTCTGCCACTCAATCCACAGGCTAAAAGGGAACTCAATACTTCAGGAGATCCTTCAACACCACCAGCTGCAGACATCTGTGCTACAGGCACACCTGGAAGCCCCAGCTGTGCTGGGTACTGAGAGATTCATCCTCTCTCTGAAGGGCTTGCAGCCTCCAATAGCTGAACACAAGGCAAAGAAAAAGCAAAGCACAAACAAAAGATGTAAAGAAGCAAAAAGATCTTCCCCTCCAAGGTGTAAAACTTAGCTGGGAACCAGGGAGGGACAATACCCAAGTGTGATGCTTTCCTGGGACAGAAAAATGCTCTAATGACTTCTTTTTCTCCTGACACACTCACAAGCACTTTTTTACCTTTCCATTCTCACTGTCATTTATATTAGAGCCTTCAGAAACTATTTTTCAAACAATGATGACCCTGATCCCAGCTGCCTTGCTATGCATAGCCGAAATCTTAAGGCCAGCCAGCAGCACCCACAAGCACCACTGCAGGAAACAGCGGCGTTTCAGGAAATGGAACTGCTCTGGAGAGCTGGCAGCTGACAGCCACCCAGAGCACTCAACCCCTGTGCCAAGGTCTTGTATTGACACGGCCCTCTCAAACCGGCAGCTCTGCAAGCTTCCCAGCCTGACCTCACACACCCCTGCCAACAGGCCAAGCTGAAAAGATGTTCTGCTCCCAGCCTATATCCTAAAGTCCTGGTCTACTTCATCAAAGAGACTAACAGCCTCCCAGCTGCTCTTTGCTTGTTCATCTCAAGGGCTATTGTCCTCCTCCTTACCTGCAGAGCTTTCTCATCCAGCACTCGGTGTTTGCTCTGAATCTTGTGTCTTGGCCATTTCTGTTTAGCTGGGTCTTCTGCACCAGCAAAAATGGAACTGTACTCCTGCAGTCGTTCAGGGGCTGGATACTTGGCACTGGAAAATACCTGTGGAGAGACGAGGAGGAGACTGAAAGATCCCAACAACTAAGTAATCCTACACTACAGAAACACATGGAGCGGAGTAAGCACACAATCTGTGCTGCTGGTGGGAACGGACAGCCTTGGAGTCAACAGGCTCCTAAGGGCTACCTGCATGGACCCAATCATGCATGGGCTGTCACTTCAGAAAGTAAAAGTTCCAGAACTTCTCCCTATATTTAAGTACTGAGAGATCATAGGCTTCCACTGGCAGGAAGGGAATTTGAAACACTGTTATTAAATGGAGGAAGAACGGGGAAAGAAGAGTTTTCACCAGTTTTACACAGCTCAGTAAGATGAAGATGCACTAAGGGGAGGCTAACAGAAGCTTTCATTCGAATAGTCAAAGTGTCTGTGAGCCTGAGGTGAGGTGTTGGGCTTAGCTCAGCACAGGCCTTTTCTCTTTCTCAGGGAGAAACTGGGGCAGCAACTTACACAGGCCTCATAAGGCCAGGAGCCATGTGGCTTATGGGTCTAAACATCATCAACTGGTTGAGTAAGGAAGGGGATTCTCATCACAACCCTGCTCAGCAGCAAGGCATGGTGAGGTGAGCAGGCAGCAGCTGTGGCAGCTGAGCACCAGTTCTTCTCCAGAGCTCACATCAGGAGCAAAGAGAGAAGGTGGAAGGAAGAAGGGAGGCCATGCAGCCTTCACTGAAGTCACTACCTTAATAGCCTTCTTGCTGCCCTTTATCTTCTCAATCTTCGCTTGGGCGAGCGTGACTCTCTCACCAATTGCCTGGAGCTGTGCCCGGCTGGCCTCCACCCGCTGAGAGATCCTAGGAGGCAAGCACCTTTCTTAAGATGAAGAATCCAGAGCCAGAGATTTTTTGACAACAGCCAGTGCCCAGGCCCTCAGGGAAGCATATGAACCTTGGTGGACTGGATTGTTTCATAGGGCAAAATAGTGCTAGTTGAGATACGCATGTCTTGGTCCCATTGAGAGTTTTATGTACTCTGACATGAAGGTAGGTCTAGTCTGTGACTCACAGCACAACATTCCTGCGGCCATTTGAGGCACAGCACAGGAAGATGGAAAACTGCAGCTTTTTTGTGACACCAGAGTGCCACAAGCCCTATGCCTCTCTGCAGGTACTGCTGACAAGAAAGCCACAGCCAGTTATCAACTGCCAACATATTTTTAATAAAAATGACTTGTTAAAAATGAAAGGCAACACATGCTAACGAGCAGAGTTTGGGACTCACAAGGCTTATCCTGTCCTCTGCTATACCAGCCATTTGTTGCATGACTTCTTCCATGCTGCTTCACAGCTTCATGATTTGGTTTCCACATCAGTTAAACAACATTAGGTCCTCATTTGGAGCAATAAAGTACGCTAACTTGCATAATTTTTGCATAACTAGACAAGCATCAAAGTGCTTTGGAACTGAGGTGAAAAGCACTCTGTGACAGCAAGGGATAGCGGTCACTGGTTAAGTACCTTTCCGTTCACCACGTAGACATATTCCTTTTCCACAAAGCTTATAGCAGACGCCTTGCAGCCAGGGGCATGACTGAAGCTGCCAGCGTGCCGTGCACAGTTGCTATCATGCTGCAGGAACTGTCACACAGGCTCAACTAGAGGCTAGGAAGGACATTGGAACCAGACATCAGCTACAGGTAACTATGGAGTCACCTTCTCAGAAGAGACCTTCCTTCCACGTGCATAACTAGCAGGATCTCCCTAGCTTCAAGCTCAAAAGCTGAAAATTGTTCTGAATCTTCACCCCTCTAATGAAACCAGCAAATAACATTTTTATGGCTGTACAACCCATTAGGAGAGATAGCACTTCACTTCAGCAATGTTTTGTAGCAATGAGTTCCATCGGATCATTTTGTGCCTGTAAAAAAATCAATCTCAAGCACTGTCTTTAAATTTCACCAAAAGTCCCTCTTTGCTTTTGAGAGCTCCCATGCTTTTTTCCCCCCACTCTGTATAATTCCTTTTAGTAACAAATTTGACATCAGCAGTGATCCATGATTCCCATTTTCAAACTGTACCAAACTTGTCTTTTCAAGTGTTTTCACTCTGTGCAGCACATTCCCTGTTACAGTAATGGACTCCACTAAAGCCCCCCCCATTGTAGGTGGTGAAAAACCAGCAAGTACAAGCAGCCTGTTCACCTTGCATTACCCTGGAAGACCCCCACTTCTTTCTCTAAACAGCTTTAAGTGTTTCTGTTTGTTTATAGCCATGCTTCCCTCTTTCTGGAGGCATGAAAATCCTTCCTTATGCGTATGGCAGGAGAGCACAGAGCCTATTTCTAGCTTATTCTTTTTGGAGTAGGAGATGAATAAAACTGAACCTCATGAGATTCTCCCTCTTGGAATTATTCTCCATTTCCCCATCCTTTTATTTTAAATACAGCCTAACAGCTTGTATTTTGTACCAACACTAAGTACAAATCTGTTCATGACTTCCTTCCCACACCCTCCCTCCGTCTCAGTGGAGTAAGTCCACATCACTTATACACTCGATAGCTTCTCAGAGTCGTTTCTGTTGTTCCTTTCAGTGTGCATTTCCTAGCACCTGTCTGCAGCAAATTTTGTGTGTCACAGGGCTGTCCCATTGCCTTGTTTTGTTAAAGCGTGAGATGCTTCTGAAGGACCTAAGTCTTCCCTAACTGCTCTCCCCAGCAAATTTTCCCACCTCACAGTTCACCTCTCTTTTAGATGTTTCATAATTGTATTGATTGACACTATTTCCAGCACTGCTCCTGGGGGCATCTAACTATTTTTACTTCCTGCAAAGCTGAAAAAAATTGGTTGGTTGTTTCTGCTTTGCCTCTCTCCCTCAAATCAATGATACAATTTTCCCTCTCACCTGTGAGTAGACCCCTCTCCTAGAAGAGCTCAACAAAGCCTTCCTGAAGCTCCAAATAGAAGCAGGGTATCAACTGCCTTTTAGCCAGTACCCTGCTGACTCCCAGGCACAATTCTCAGGGGCTGACCAGGCACATGTTCCTCTCCCAGAAGGAAACGTTAAGCAAACAGTTATGCAAGCTCAGGCCTAGAAACCAGTAACTGTTCTTCTCCCTCCCACTCCATGAATGTGAGTGGGTCGAGTGAGGCTGTCAAACGCTTCCCTCACTCCCTTTTCTGCCCCACATTATCCCCACTGCTTCACCAGGTATCACCTCTTCCTCTCCCGTCCCACACTCACTCTTTCACTAGGTGTGAAGAAGCAAAGGAGTTTTTGAGGAATCCCACCTTTCACCCTTAACTTCCACATTTAACATTCACCCTCTAAGACACCCGGTTTAGGAGAGGAACAGTGCCGCTTTACGCCTGCACCAGACACAGGCAGTGCACTGGCTATTACAAAGTGCTTTTTGGTGCTAGACTGCTAACACCTCCCATAGTGCATGGACAGCATCAGGGGAAGAACAGAAAGGAAAGCACCTCTCAGCACACAGTGCTGCATACGCCTTTCTCCCTCATTTAAGGTTTGCTGGAACCTCTCTGAAAAAGGAGGCATCCCTAAAGACAGAGCATGACTGGCAAGCACTGTGC